AAAATTCTCAAAAGTAATATGTACCCATCTTGGGTACATATTACTTTTGAGAATTTTGAAAAGACTTTTAATTACATCATTACATGCAATTATAAAGAGACATTGTAAGTCGATTACCGTAATATTAGTATTCACTTTGTTAAAAGTGTCTAATTTTTTTTTATCTAAAGATCACATTAACTGTAGATTTTAAATCATTTGTTATCTACAAATTTGTTTGTACAGAATGTAAATCACAAAAATAAAAACAAAATTGAATTAAAAACTAAAAAAAGCATTCATATAGGATGGGAAAAACCCGATATGAATAAACAAGTAAACCATATTATAATGACTTTTATAATTTAATATTATTTACCGGTTTTTTTTGTTATATTTGATATTTGTTAAAATAATTTTTAACCCTTTGTTGGGCGCAATCATTTTGTAACTCGGGAAGGTGCATTGTATCAAATTGATGCGCATAACAATTCACCAATTTAGTATTTTATTTTTATTTTTTTTTATTTTTTTTTTTTATAAACTGCTTAAATAATCTTTGAACAAATATAAAATATTTACAATAATTAAAAATTCCATCACAATTGCTATTTTCAATAAAAGAGGCGCATTGATCAAATTGATATAAAGTGCGAGCGACTATTCTAAAAAGCTAACTATACATAAAAAAAACACATTCCTTTTGAATTGAACAATAAATAATATCAAATTATATCTACAAATTTAAAAATGTATTTACCAGATATAATATTTTTTTATTATAATCAAACTTATAAAATGTAACATAAAAGGGCTCAATGTATCAATTTGAACAAAATGATAAAAATCAATTCATATAAAGTAATTTAAACATGTTCGATGATGTAGAAGAATAAAAGAAGGAAAAAAATGAACCTACTAAAAGGAGAACTTGTATCAGATAAAATTGATTGACATGCATCAATTTGATCAAGCGCGCCCAACGGAGGGTTAATAAATCCTTTTGTATATATAGGAAGTTTGTTTACAATTTTATGGCTTTTAGTATGTTTATTTTTACAATTGTATACTTATTTTATACCGTTTTTAACAAATATATTTTATGATGACTACATAAGTCAAAACATGTCTTGATAAATAAAATGATAAAATTTATATATAAAATAAAATTCATATATATATATATATATATATATATATATATATATATATATATATATATATATATATATATATATTTGATGTACTGCATTACTTCTAAAGCATTTTGCAACACAACAACTTCCTTCATTAAAAAAAAAGTAATGCCTTCTGACAATAAATTGTTGGGATCTATGTTAGTTACATAAGTGCTTTTAATTGCAACCTTCAGGTTATCACAACATTTCTTCAAACCATGTTTAAACTAACGTGTGTGAAACCATGTTTAAACCATGTTTAAACTAACGTGTGTGAGACCTAATGACAGACTTGAAAGTGTGAAGTCACATGCTAACACGTGTGTTGAAGGTCAGCACTGGATTTATATTAAGAGATAACTTCAGATAATGTGAATTATAACTAATTTTAAATTATAACTAAAATATCTTTTATAGATATTTCAATTTTTTCTAATAAAATATAATAAAACATAAAACTAACCTTTAAGGATGTTTGTTTTGTAGGTAATAACAAATATAATAATCCAAATGGGAAACCTTAACATTAAAAGAAAAAAAAACAATGTCAACCACAACTAAATAATAACAAAATGTCAACCACAACTAAATAACAAAAACATTTTTCACTAAGTACAAAAAAAAATATTTAAAAAAATGTTAAAAAACATACTATTCTTAACACATTGTAATGAAAGTATTCATACTAACAGTCACTGAAATAATTAAACCAATACCATTTTTACATTATTTTTTGAGCAAACAAAACAATAATATATAAACTGGAAACGGTCTAGATTAGGCATTTCAAAAATTAAAATGAGCAAAATATATTAGTACAATGAGTTAACAAAATATATTAGAAACCTTAATATACAACAGCAGAACTACTAACAACTTAAGATTTTTAACTTCTATTAATCTTGACAAGAAAAAACAACACCCTTTTAATAACCTTAACCTTAACCAAAATATTTGAGTGAACAATATCAAGTTCCAATAAACAAATTTGTTAAAGTTGAATTAAGTCAAAAAGCTGGCAAACTATTAAAAAGTTGTTTTAAAGGACAATTTCATAGATTTAAAAACAACATTAAGTATACTAAATAGTCAATAACAAGAAAACCTCATAAAGCTACTGAGACTACTCAGTCTGAAACTTTTATTTGTACACACAAGTATTACAACCAAAACTTGTACATTTTTAAATATTACTCTGTTGCAGTCAACTTTCTTCAAATTTTTATTTAGAACCTAATTAAAGTGTTTAAAGAAACAAATAATTTTGTATTGAGTATAAACTTATTACTTACTCCAGCAAAGCACAACTAATAATTTTCAAATAAAAAGGACTAAATTAAAAATTATAACAGAAACCAACATCAAAAAACGTTAGATAATCATTTTTTGTTAAACAATCAAGACGATACAACTTCTAACAAATGGAGTTCAGGTATGGAATTGGCATGTTTTTAATTCTTTTGAAAGTTTGAAGTTTAAAAAAAAGATTTAAAACACAACAATAATATAGAATAAGCATAAACATATTGAAGTTTAGAGTTTCAAAAAGGAAAATTCAACTGGAAGAAACATGCACATACTTAGTTTAGAATATTAGAGGGATTAAAAACTAAAGAAATGAGATGTTATGCAACCATTCACACAAATTAAACAAACAATAAATGATCATGCTGGCCCACTTTTTAAAAATTTAAAATAATTTTTGAGAATAAAATAGAGGCAAAAAAAATAAACCTGCAACAAAAATAAATGTGTTTAACTAAGAAAATGCCAATTAACCTTATCAAACATGTGTGCGTGTTTTTAAAAGTTGGAAGATAATGATTCAAAATTATTTCATAGAAAAGTATTTTTGATATAAAAATAACTTTAACAATATTTAACAACTTACCAAGTACTATTCCAATCATGAAACGAAAAGGTGCAGCAGGAATTCCTAAATCGTCAGCAAATTTTTCAACACCCAAAAATTTGAATCCAACTTGACCACCTTGAAAAAACTCGCTATTAGAACCCATTATTTTAGATTATTCGTAGTTTAGATTTCAATAGCTACATAAAATGATAAATATATATTTTTTGGTATTTAAAAAGTTACACAGTATGTTCAAAAGAGAAATGCATAGCATACATTCAATTTTAATCATACATAATGCATAACATATAAATTTTATGCTTGCAATAGGTGTAGCCAAAAAACTTTTATTGAAAGTATAAATAATGTAGGATATATTAAAAAAAAGCTTAAAATATGTTTTATAATAACTTAAAAATAGATTTATGCTATGATAAAGCTTTTTTGAGTTTATCTCACTTTAGTGGCTCAAAAAATCATTTGCAGCGTTATAGTATTTACGTTTGTAATGTTTCATCGAGGTAGATATTTAAGGTATTTTAATCGAGTGCCGTATACGCCACAACACGTCGCTAAGCAAAGATGAAACTAAGTTTCCTGTATTAAAGAACACGACGCCGTTAATACACGTTCTGGAAAATACATGAATTTTGCGATTTAATAAAAAAAGATGTTAACAGCACCGGGTGGGTTATAAGTAGGTTACTGATAAGAAATTTCCACCATGCACCCATTTTACAACTTAAAACTTAATGCAAATTGTTATTAAACTAGTAAGAACAATAAGTTTATATTAATATAAAGAAGAGACAAAATAAGTCAAATCAAATGTTCAAATTGTTGTAAGTTAAATTCAATACATTTTGCCCAACGATCAGTAAAAGAATAACACACAGTTTTACATAACTCTGTTGAAATTTCTCTAAAAGCCTCGACTCATCCAAATTTTCCACAGGTACAGAATAAACTTTGTTTTTTATAACACACCATATAAAAAATGTTTAAAGACGTAAAACCGGGGGATTTTACAGGGATTTTACCACTCACAGAACCTTCCGCGGCGCCCAATCCATCTGTTTGGAAATAAATTCTAGCCAATCTCGAACTACCAAAGCATAATGTGGCTGAGCGCCATCCTGCTGTAATATAAATTCTTGCTTTTATTGATTATTAAGTGAAAGCCATAGATAGTCTGACAGTATTGAATGATAGCTTTGAGCTGTTATAGTCCCTTCAAAAAAAACGGACCAATTAAACCGTTGACATTTAAATCTGCCCATATATACAAACTTGGACTGTTGACACCTTTTTCCACAATGTTATGGGGATTTTTAGTGCAGTAATAAACGCTGTTGTGTCGATTAACAGAGCTATCTAATTTGAAAACTGCTTCATCTGACGAAATTGTTGAAATAAGAATGCCATAACTTTGTTCACAAATTATTAGCATGCTTTCGCAAAATTCAACTCGTCGACCATAGTTATCTTCATTTAGCTTATGAACTAGACTAGGAATGTAAGGCCTTAGTTTCAGCTTATTAACTAGGAATGCAAGGCCTTAGTTTCAGCTTATTGACTAGGAATGTAAGGCCTTAGTTTCAGCTTATTGACTAGGAATGTAAGGCCTTAGTTTCAGCTTATTGACTAGGAATGTAGGCCTTAGTTTCAGCTAATTGAAAATGCGGCGTAATGATGAACGACTTATTTGGAGTTGCAATGAACCATGATGTGTTAAAGTTGTTGAAAAATCTTGAAAATGTTGTTTGATTTCTTCTTTCTTAGCATCTGTGGTCACGCTGACTGGGCGTCCTGTTCTTTAGCATCCATTACTATTCAAATTTTCTTAAACTTGGCAACTAATTCACCAATACATAAAGATGAAGGAGCTGCAATTATAAATTCTTTACGCCAAACACCTTAAATTGATACTGGAACTTGTAACAAATAATAATTCTTTACAATCCATATTCTTTGTTCCAACGAATAGCAGTCTCCACTCATTGTCTAAAAACAGAAATTAATAATGAATGGCATTTTTATAAACTTACTTATATATATATATATATAAACTAATGCAATGTGATTCACATTTTTTTGTCACATTGTATTAGCTTTTTATTATCACATTGCAAATACGACCAATATTTAATGGAAAGAAAAGAAAAAGAACTTTTTTTATGTCGTGTATATAAAAAATTTTAAATGTGTTTTTTTTTTTTTTGCATTTTTCTCTGTCGATTTAGTTGTTGTTGTTTTATCTATATCTTGATATTTACTTTTGTTTAACTAATCTATTTAATGCGTAAAGAAGCTTAAATATTGTATGTAGTAGTGTGTGTATATATTTTTTTTATTTAAGTTTGGCTTTATTTTGCTTTTTATATTTTTCAGGTAAAATTTTTTTCTCTCACTCCTTCTGAACTTATATGATTAAAATTTTTGTTTTCTCATACATTTTTTTCTCACTCATCTTATCTCACCCGTTCATTCTCTCTCTTTTTTTTTTCATTTTTCTTAGCCTTACTCTTTTATATTTTTGTTCTGATCCCAATTTTTTTAACATTATTGTTCAAATTACTTTTTTTTTTAATTACTTTTATTAATTTAGTTTACTTTCTTTATTATTTCCTTGTTTTATTATTTTTTATTTGTTTATTCTATGAAGGTGTCACTCCATTGGTTAGTTTTTAACTATATGAGCGACACCAAACCCAACTTTGTAAGGTTTTTTGGTGGTTTGTAACTTTTTAAAAATCTTCATTATTTGCAAAATATTCATTATTTTATGAGTTCATTCAATTTTTTTTGTTATTTTTTATTTATTTAACGGAAACAGACAAATCCTACGAGTATAAAGAGGTAACACTTAATTTATGTACTGATAATATCCCAACACATCATAAAAAATTACTTGATTTAGGATCTAACTTTTTTCCTATTCCGAGTAAAGTTCCATATATGGATATAATAAGTATAACTGAAACGACAGCTTTAAATTTCAAGTATTCAAACAAAAATACTGATGCAAATAAACATAGAGAAGATGTACTTCGAGTTTTGAAAATGCATAAACCGGTTTCTACAAATTTAGATAAGGATCAGTTTAAAGCTATCAAAGAGCTTAAGTCTAGCAACACAACTAGTATTTATCCGTTTGATAAAGGATCAGGCTTTGTTCAAATTAATAAATTCGATGCTAATAAAAAACTGAAGAACTAAAGGAAAATCTAAAATCATAAACTATGATCAAACTCAAAAAGTTTTTCCGATAAACTATAATTAAAATTAAAATAGCAATTCCTTGTTTGCGATGATCAGTTTTAGCCATGTCAGTAAACCGCTTTTGTATATGCATCTAAGTAAGGTTTTGTATATGCATCTGCAACTTCTACTCTAGTTTGTAAGTGGTTCCGCATCTTTATAACGGCTGATAAATTAACAACTGTCAAATCTTTTAAGTGAGGTAGATAGGGTCAGTCTTCCTGGTGGACTGCATTGGGACTGTTTTTGTTAATTGCGGCAAAAAAAAGTTTCAACTACAATTAAACAAATAAATTTAAAAAACCTTTTTAAAGAAAAAGTTAAAAATTTTTAGGGTATTAAATAAATAATTGAAAAATAATTAACTTACTATGTTAAAATTAAGTAAAACAAAATTTAAAAATAAATTTTGCAAACATTTTTTTTGCATATCAATTTGAATACCTTAAAACTTTTAGAGAACATGGTCTTGCTGTCTAATATTTCATAACTAAAGAAAAAACAACATGTGTCTTTATATTTAGAGCCATTTAGAGGTAAATTCACTTTTTTGCTGCAACGAAATTTAAAGAAAAGATTTTTTATAATAAATAAAATCTTCATAAATTGTGGGTTTAGATAACTTATAGATTTAAAAACTTCCATCATGAAAAAACGCAAATTTCTTCAGTATATCTTATGCGTGACAGAGTAAAACATTCGCCATTTGTTTTACTGCATAAATATTCAATTTATTCTCCAAAATGTAGATCCTTATCAATTGCAACTCCAAGTAGTTTCACTTTATTGAAGACAAAAACTCTTATACTGCCTATTTTTAGGGATTTTTTTTTAAACCAGCAAAAGGTAATTGTAACTTATCTGGGTTAGCAATCATAGAGTTAAACTTAAACCAAGTAATGGTATTATTTGCTGCATTTTGAAAACGTAAAATTAATATGATAGGTGAGAACAAAACGAAGAATTAATATGATAGGTGAGAACAAAACGAAGAATTAATATGATAGGTGAGAACAAAACGAAGAATTAATATGATAGGTGAGAACAAAACGAAGAATTAATATGATAGGTGAGAACAAAACGAAGAATTAATATGATAGGTGAGAACAAAACGAAGAATTAATATGATAGGTGAGAACAAAACGAAGAATTAATATGATAGGTGAGAACAAAACGAAGAATTAATATGATAGGTGAGAACAAAACGAAGAATTAATATGATAGGTGAGAACAAAACGAAGAATTAATATGATAGGTGAGAACAAAACGAAGAATTAATATGATAGGTGAGAACAAAAAGAAGAATTAATATGATAGGTGAGAACAAAACGAAGAATTAATATGATAGGTGAGAACAAAACGAAGAATTAATATGATAGGTGAGAACAAAACGAAGAATTAATATGATAGGTGAGAACAAAACGAAGAATTAATATGATAGGTGAGAACAAAACGAAGAATTAATATGATAGGTGAGAACAAAACGAAGAATTAATATGATAGGTGAGAACAAAACGAAGAATTAATATGATAGGTGACAACAAAACGAAGAATTAATATGATAGGTGAGAACAAAACGAAGAATTAATATGATAGGTGACAACAAAACGAAGAATTAATATGATAGGTGACAACAAAACGAAGAATTAATATGATAGGTGAGAACAAAACGAAGAATTAATATGATAGGTGAGAACAAAACGAAGAATTAATATGATAGGTGAGAACAAAACGAAGAATTAATATGATTATTAATATTAATTATTATTAATAATTAATGCTGTTGAGATAAAGCGCCAGGCAATATCTATGACAGCCGGTATAAATTAATTAATGAACAAGTTAGTTCAGTCACTAAATAATAAAAAACGTTAATAGTAAGCTTTCTTGGTTTTTATCTTGTTTGTTATTGCTTCTAAGTCGACCGATTGCAAGTTTAATTTGAAGCTTTTAACTGTAGTAGATTGAACAACTTCGGCTGGTAGACTATTCCATCCATCGACAACTCTATTGCTGAAAAAATATTGCTTTTTCAAACAATTTCTGACCAATTCAGGTTTCATTCGATGTTTTGCTCCTCTAATGTTAGCTGCAGGACCTGATGAGCAAATAGAGTTCATTGTTTGATTTTGTTTAATATCAATGATTTCAATACCTTTAAATATTTTGAATTGCTGGATTAAATCGCACCTTAGCCTTCTAGTCTCCAAAGTAGTCAAACCCAAAATTTCCAATCTTTTTTTGTACTCAAGATGTCTAAGCTCCGGTATCATTTTGGTAGCTCTTCGTTGGACTTTTTCTAGTTCATTAATATCTTTTGTATAATATGGACTCCATGCTTGAATTGAAAACTCTAAATTTGGTCTAACATATGTACAATACAGTGTTTTTATTAGATCTTTATCCTTGTACTTGAATGTATTATTTAGTAGTGAGAGTATACTATTTGCTTTACTAGCTGCATATTTTACTTGTTTGGCCCATTTTAAATCACTTGATATATAAACACCAATGTCTTTTTCTAATTTTGACTTTTCAATTTCCATTAATGTATTGTTATTGTTCATAAAATATGAATATTCGTTATTATTTGAACCAAAGTGCATTATTTTACATTTTTCAAAATTTAATCCTAATTTCCATTTTGTTGACCATTCGTCAAGTTTATTTATATCATTTTGAAACAATTGTGAATCATTTTGAGAAGAAATAGGTGCAATTATCTTATTATCATCAGCATATAAACGACATTCATTAATAAAATTTTCTGGTAAATCATTTATAAATATCAAAAAAAGGAGAGGACCTAGAACAGACCCTTGTGGTACACCACTAAGTACATCAACCCAATCTGTCACACTTTTACCTAAAACCACTCTTTGTTTTCTGTTAGCTAAAAAACAGACGATCCACGTAAGAAGTTTACCAGAAATACCAAAAGTCAATAACTTGGATAATAACTTTTTATGTGAAACACTATCAAAAGCTTTTTTAAAATCTGTGTACAATACATCTACCGGTGTTCTATTGTGGAACGCATCTGTTAAAATATCTAGGTATTCTAATAGGTTTGTTGTACAGCTCTTGCTTTTCATAAAACCATGTTGTTTTTTTGAAAGTAAATTATTTTTTATGAGATGTTGCATGATACAATCAGCGATTATTCTTTCTAACACTTTACATGGTATTGAAGTTAACGAGACTGGTCTGTAGTTAGATGCTTTTAATTTGCTTCCTTTTTTAAAAAGTGGCATTACATTTGCCTTCTTCCACATATCTGGTAGGGTACCTGTTTCCATCGATTCTTTGAAAATTAAATATAATGGGTATGATATTGACGAGCTGCATTCTTTTAAAACATATGGATGAACAAAATCAAAACCGACTGATTTTGATTTATCAAGTGCTTGAAGTCTAGTTTGAACATCATTTTGTGTTATTAAAACTGTGTTTAACAATAAATTTGAAGGTATATTATGAAACTCAGTAATATTTGTACAATTATCATTAACATACACAGAATGAAAATATTTATTTAGTTCAGTAGCTATGGCGAATTGATCATTTATGATTTCCCCATTATCAATTTCCAGAGCTCGAATATGAGTTTTCACTGATTTCTTCTCATTGATATATTTATAAAGCAATTTAGGATTTGATTTAAACTTGCTAGCTAAAGTACTTTCAAATTGTTTTATATTGTTCTTAATATCATTCTTTATTCTAATTTTTAGCTTATTATACTGAATTTTTGTTGATTCCTCATTCCAGCCATTACGTTTATTAGCAAGCCATATATTGTTTTTAGTTCTTATTTTATGTTTCAATTCAGGAGTAATCCATTTGTTTCTGTTCCTTCTATTTTGATAATTAGTTCTTGGGATAAACAGATTAGTTGCATAATTGTAATGATACAAAAATAAATCATACATTTCATTTATAGATTTACTTTTAAATCCATTTTCCCAATCTACATTATTGAAATGGCAAGAAAATAGTTCATAATTTCCTTTTTGATATAATCTAATGGATTTCTTATGTTCGGTTGAAAACTTATAATCATTCATTAGATAACAACACTTTAACAAATGATGACCCTGTTTGACATTCCCTAAAGGAGCTGAGTGAGTTATAGAAACAATTTTTTTTTTATCGTTTGTGATAATAAGGTCTAGAATATTAGTTGATTTGTAGTTTGCTATTTGGAATGTTGGCTCACATACACATTGAAACAGAAAACAATCTTCAAGACATTCAATAAATTTATTAGTTTGAGATTCATTATCAGTTGCTGAAAAAAGACAATTATTATCAGACCAATCTATTGTATTATAGTTGAAGTCACCTGTAATAATAAGATCGCTGTATTCTTTTTGATAAATACTCATTTTAGCAGCATTAATAGATAGCAAAACATAGTTATTATACTCATGAGATATATCTGGTGGTCTATAAATGCATCCAATTAGCATTTGTTATTTTTAAAACATATACAAGTCCATATTTGTTCTACAAAATTATTGTTTAACTGTAAATTATTTGTTTCAAACTGATTAATACATTGTTTTACATAAATACAAACACCTCCTCCATGAGTCTTTCTATCACTTCTAAAAATATTATAACTTATTATATTTACATCTGATTCTGCTTTAAACCAAGTTTCTGTAACACAAATAACAACCGGTTTATATATTTCACATTGTAACCTTAACTCATCAATTTTATTATTCAGAGACGTTGCATTTGTATACCAAATCATCAGTTCATTGCATTTTTGAGTATCGTGCTCCTTGTTTATACTTAAATCACATTTCTTACGTTCATGAAAGTTTACTATTTCAATATCTAGCTCTCTCTTATTGCTCAGCAACTTGTTAAGATTTTGACCTCCACCACTAGACACATTTATTTTATTGTTAGTTTCATAGTTAAAGCATCGAATGTGGTTTAAGTCTTTTTTTAGTTGCTATTTTTTTATTTTTACAACTTTGTCATTTCTAATACCAAAGTAAAAGTTTGCCTTGTTAATATTGTCATTATTTAGTTTTTTACACTCTTCTTTTAATAGCTTTGATTTGTACCGTTCAGATTCAGTCAAATCAGGATTTATAAATACACTTTCGTATGTTTTATCTTTCTTCAATTCCTTGGCATTTTTTAAAACAGAATTACGTTCCAATTTATCATTTAAAACAACAATATATGGAGCTTTATATCCATTTTTTGACTTTAATTTGATAACATTTTTTATTTTAACATTGACCTTCAACTTTTTCATGATTGTTTCAATATTTTGTTTATCTTCTTCAATAGCTTTGACTTTATCACTTAATGTTGATTCCTCTAAACCGAAAATAACCAAGTTATTTTCTCTTTTATCTCTTTCTTTGGTTTCATTTGCGATAGTATTAATAATTTGCATTTGATCTGGAGTTTTTTTTACTTTACTAGCCCAATCACCTCTCGCTGCTGAACTAGATTTTGATTTAGAATTTTCTAAATCCAGAACTCTCTTAGTCAAGTTTGCATTATCTGTTCTTAAAGTTTCGATTAACTTTTTTAAATCTACGATTATTGCTTCTTGCTCACATTTGTAAGTATTGAAATCTCCTAGTTGTAAGTTAACCATTTAGATTACTGGATAGGAGGGCTACCACCCTAAATAACAGTGGATTACCTCCTGTCAGTGAAATTGTAATGTTATTATTATTAGTTTTGCTTATTACACAGGGACTAAAAAGTTTCAGTATGATAGGTGAGAACAAAACGAAGAATTAATATGATAGGTGAGAACAAAACGAAGAATTAATATGATAGGTGAGAACAAAACGAAGAATTAATATGATAGGTGAGAACAAAACGAAGAATTAATATGATAGGTGAGAACAAAACGAAGAATTAATATGATAGGTGAGAACAAAACGAAGAATTAATATGATAGGTGAGAACAAAACGAAGAATTAATATGATAGGTGAGAACAAAACGAAGAATTAATATGATAGGTGAGAACAAAACGAAGAATTAATATGATAGGTGAGAACAAAACGAAGAATTAATATGATAGGTGAGAACAAAACGAAGAATTAATATGATAGGTGAGAACAAAAAAAGTACTCAGAATCGTACTTTTATGCGTTTACACATTTTTATGCGTTTACGCATTTTTATGCGTTTACGCATTTTTATGCGTTTACGCATTTTTATGCGTTTACGCATTTTTATGCGTTTACGCATTTTTATCCTCTTTCCAAGGCACAGTGAAGTGTTTGTATAACAAAACCGCACAAAAATACTCTATGGATTTTTTTTCAATTGATCAGCTTTAATCAAGTTTTATGAGTTGTTTTTAAATTTTATCGAAATTAATTGTTTCTTTAAATAAAAAAATTTAAGAAAAAGTAATTTAATATCAAGAAAAAGATTTATAAATTATTCGCTAGTTATTGTCAAACGTTCATACTTTTTGTTTTTATCTGTAATATTTTGTTCACTATCGCTTTCAGCTTAGGGTAAAGATGAGATCATCATATTGACTGCTTCTTTTTGAGAGTGAGAAACTCACTTAAATAAGGAGATTTTCAAGTTATTTGACACATTTCAGTAGGGTGAATCTCAGGTTTGAAGACCTAAAATTTAACTAGTACTAGGAACAAGCCGGTGATTTTCAAGTATTCATCCCCCCCCTCTCATTTTATTCGTAGAATCGCCTCTGGTTTTGAATGTGTGATTTCGAAACTATATTTTGCAATAGCATTGAAATTAATATAACCTCATTGCTTTTAAAATTCAATAACTGTTGGAATGTACTGTTATGCAATTGTAATTGTAATTGCACTTTTATAAAAAGATTTTATCGTAAAATTTTTGTTATTCGCATACAATTAATAAATATCGTAATAAGAGATTAACAAAATATTTCTATAATGCCACAAGAAAAGAAAATATAAGTTTTATTTTAAACTTTTAATTCTTATATAAAGAAGTTATAAATATAAATCAATTAACCTTATGTTTATATTATGAAACCGTAAATTATTTTATCGATAAAATAACGGATATCCTCTGCAAAAAATGGTGGATGCAGGGCTGTCCCGGAGGAGGTGAATGTAGAGGGTGTTCCACCCCCCTAAACCTGTCATTTAAGCATTTGAGTTGGCATATTGAGCAAGTTTTGAACTATAGTTGGCAAAATGCAAATATTAAGGACATTTATTATTATTATTTTGGTGTCACTAGTTGGCAAAAAATACATATAACCCAACTCCCCCATGAAAGACCTCTTCGGGACGGCCCTGGGTATATGGTCACCAGAACACGTAATTGTTAAAAAAGGTGAGTGATAAATACCTGTTGTCGCGAGTGCTGAACGTAGAACACTGGTGATTATATGCAACGCAGTAAATGCTTGTGGGACTTCTGTACCTCCTGTATTTGCCTCGTTTTATATATTTCCACGAGTATATTTTAAGGAGATGTTTCTAAAGAATGAAACTCCAGGTTGTGCTGGCGTAACCCAGCAAACCGGATGGAGGACATTCAACTTGTCCCCGAACTTGGTCTCGACGGATGTTGCAAGAAATGCATGTTTATTTACAGTCTTATTGCCTTTTTTTTTTCTTTTTATTATTTGTTTTTAATTTATTTTATTTCGTCAATATATACACATTTTACAATTTTATCTTTACAGCTATCATATGAATATATTTTTACAATCTGATTGGTAGTCAAGTAGAAAACAGCATATAAAATTATTATATATAAAATATATAAATAATAATTTAGAATTTACAATATTATACAAATGTACGAAATTAATAATTTGAAAAAAAATAATAAGATTGAGAATTTAAGAAAATTAAGAACATTTAAAAGATTTAAGTTCTTTTTTCTATTTTTTCAAAACAGAATTAAAATAAAGAAGCGAAAACAACAATAAAAGCATATCGTAAAATATTGTTTTAAACAGTCACAAAAAAAAATCTGATTAAAAAAAAAAATGAAAGAGCGTATGAATTGTTTAAATTTAGTGAGTGTTTTTTTATAGATCTTTATATTATATCTTTAATAAATCGATAGATCTTCCGTTTTTCATATTATCGTCGAAAATCGTGTTCCACAGGAGTGGTAATGACACTTAATTGAGTCAGATTTGACACTTATTGAGTGTCTTGTTTTTTATGATTAATTATGGAAAAAATTTTATAAAAATGTTTCTTAATTATTTCATTTTTTTTAAGTTTAAACATAAGTAACAATTTCTGGTGAGTATTCAGTTCATAAACTTTGAGAGCATTAATTTTCTTGAATAATAGCTTGGCATTTTTGTATCCATCTTCGCCAAAATAGAATCGACTAGGTTTCTTTTATTTGGCATAAATGTTTTTTAGGGATTACTTATCCAAGCAATATTACAATAGTTATTATGACAATGTGTAAACGAATAGTGTAAAATTTTTTAAACATGTTTTATTCAAAAGATATTTTGTCTTGTACATAATCCCGAGAGATTTTGAAACTTCATCCAAAATTCTTTTTATTATAGTATTGTTAGTTGCTAGTTCTGTTAAATTTAGTGGAAGATTCTCGGAAGACGATTGGTAAAAAAAATATATTTCAATACTCAATGATGTTAAATGAAACTCAATATTCAATGAAAGTTTATTTGAGATGAACTTATTAAGATATGTTAGTTCTGCGTTTACACAATGAAAAATATTTTTTTAATTTGAATCTGAAAAGAAAATAAGTGTGTTATCTGCTAATATTGTATACTTAAGTATTTTTGAAGACAAATAAATATCACTCACATAAATTAAAAACAACAAAGGTCCAAGTATTATTCTCTGTGGAAAGCAGCATCTTATTGTTTCAAATCGTGTACATGTTAAATCATAAGGTCCTCCTCGTTTGCGATTTTCTAAATAACATTGCAGCCATTTTAAGTAAATTACTCCGTAATTGCGTAGTTTGTAGAGAAGAATCAATAAATGCCTTAGAAAAATCTTTGAAAATTGCAAATGTATAGCTATAGCTTTATAAACATTCAAAATTTGGTTGGCAAGATTAATTATTGAATATTCTGTGAAACGTTTTTTCGAAAACTTGTTCCACAGAATATTCAATAATATTGATCTTGCTTTCGGTTAAAAATATAATATTCTTTATCATAAACAATAACTGTTTATAATACTATTACTAAATATTTATTTTCAGTTTATGTTTAGTAAAAATATTCAGAACGAGTTTAAGAACGTCTTATTTAATGTCTGCCACGCTAGTGAGCGCTTGCTAAACGGTTCAGCTTTGTCATCTATTTCAGGTCTCAGTTTATCCAATGAAAACTATAAAATAGCTTTAGACATCCTTAAGGAGCGTTATGAAAATAAGCAGAACATGATATCATCCCACATGAGAAAACTACTGTCATTTGAAAGAGTGCATAGTTTAAATAGAATTGAAAAATTAAGACATTCATTAGATAATATAGAAATACAAATAAGGAGCCTCGAAACTCTTAAAATTACAAGTGAAATGTATGGTTGTAATTCTACTGATTGTAAAGTAAGATGGTTCTTTACTTGAATTATACAATGACATTTTTAAAGCACAATTACAGAAAAGCATTATTGAACGAGTTATTGATAAAAACAAATTTGAAATAGTACACTACCTACCGTACCAACCAGTTCTGAGAAACAACAAAGTTACTTCTAATGTCAGAATTGTCTTCAATGCAAGCAGTTCTGTTGATGGCCCTTCATTGAATGATTGTCTCTACCCTGGACCATCTTTAACCACATCCTTATATGGAATCCTCTTGCGTTTTCGTGCCCAAAAAATTGCCTTTGTTGCAGACATTGAAGAAACCTTCTTGCAGATTACATTATCTCCTGAAGATCGTGATTGCGTCCGATTTTTGTGGTTCGAGAACATTAACTCACTTAATAAAGACAATATATTTACTCAAAAAATTATTCCATATAGAATTTGCAGAGTTCTGTTTGGTGTTACATCTTCTTCCTTTCTTTTTTTTGCTACACTCATTACTCACGCTGAAAAGTACCTCTCTGATGATCCTATATTTGTTATTAAATTAATGAATTCTTTACATGTCGATGATCTGAACTCAGGAGCTGACTCAATTGATTCAGCCATTAATTTTTATCAAAAATGTCAAGATCGATTAAATGCTGATCGATTAAAGCTGGCTTTACTCTTAGAAAATTTAACAAAATTTTACCTCCTTTAATCTTACTAAAGTATTAGGCTTATTATGGAATAAAAAAGAAGACAACTTAATTTTTGATTTTAGAAACTTGACACACAATGATGACTCGATTCCAACGAAACGTAAAGTTCTTCAGTTTATTGTAAGCATTTATGACCCACTTGGTATAATTAATCCATTTATAGTCAAGTGTAAAGTATTCTTTTAAAAACTATGTATCAAAAAACTTAATTGGGACAAGCCTCTTGAGGGAAAAATGTTATTGGTGTGGCAAGTCATTATCAATGACATTCAATCCTCTAAACCCATTATCATTCCTTGGTGGTACCATAATAACTATTCAAATCATTTCGTTGACTTGTCATTGCATGGATTTAGTGATGCCAGTAATATAGCATTTGGTTGTTGTATATACTTGTTGTGTTCCTTTGATGATGAGCACAAAGTATGTTCACTTATAACTGCTAAGTCTAGGATTACCCAAATTAAAAATACCTCTATTCCCCAACTTGAATTAAAGACAGCCCTATTATTATATCAACAGTTAAAAGAGATTTATACCCTGTACTTAAATTCAAACAAATAGTCTGTTGGTGTGATTCTACTATAGTATTACATTGGATTAATAACATTGATAAAGTTAAGCAGCCATTTTTACAAAAGAGACAAAAAAATTAGAAAAACATTTGACATTTCGAATTGGCGATATATTGAAACACACAACAACCCTGCTGACATAATATCCAGAGGTACAAACTTAAAAACCTTATCTAATAATAAAACATTGTTCAAAGGACCAGCACTTCTTTATAATGATCCAAAGGACTGGCCAAAATTTAAATTAAGAAATGTAATTGATAAAATCGAAAAAATTACTACTAATTTAGTTTTAAATGAACATTATTTAGACTTAAGTATGATTGACATTACTCGATTTAACAACTATTTGCGATTGTTAAGAGTTACAGCCTTTGTACTACAATTTATAACTAATTTAAAATCTAAAAAAGATAAAAAACATTTAAAGTTATCTAATTTAGATTCAATTGAAATAGAAGAAGCATTTAAGATATGGATTATATTCGTTCAAACAGCAATAACTACTGATAAAAATTTTAAGCAGCTGCAACTAGACCTAAATGCACCAATTACACACGACGCAAAAAAACCAATATTCCTACCTCGAAATACAGAATTTACAAACTTAGTTATTTATCATAATCATTATTTAGTTATGCACAACGGCGTTAAAGAAACTTTAAACCAAATTCGAACTCAATTCTGGATACCTAAAGCACGAAACTACATTAAAAAACTGATTAAAAAATGTCCTATTTGTAAACGCTTTGAAGGACTGCCTTATTCATATCCTTCTACCCCTCCTTTACCATTATGTCGTTTAAATAATGATCATGCATTCAAATTTACAGGTGTAGATTATGCAGAACCAATATACATTAAAAATATTTATGAGGGAAATAATTTATATAAAGTTTGGATATTTTTATTTACATGTGCTACTACACGTGCTTTATTTTTAGATCTTGTTCCGGACACTTCTGCTGAATCATGCATAAAAAGTTTACGGAGATTTTTTGCGAAACGTGGCAGACCTTTCGAAACTCTCTCAGGCAACGGATTACAATTCACCTCCAATCTTACTCAAAACTTTACTTCATCTCTCGGTATCACGTGGCATTTCAACATCCCCGCTGCTCCGTGGTGGGGAGGGTTCTTTGAACGACTAGTTGGATCCACTAAACGCTGCCTTCGCAAAATAACACATGAAGTAGAATCAATATTGAACAATCAACCAATCACGTTTATGTATGAATCACCTGGAGACTTACCACTTACACCCAATCATTTAATATATGGAAGATCAACTAACTTTAAAGCTATTAACGACAAAACATATGAATTAAACTTAAACACCCGAAGTACATACATAGAAAATACATTAAATCATTTTTTGCAAAGATGGGAAAAAGAGTACCTCACCGAACTTAGAGAATTCCATAAATGTAAGAAAAACAAAGGAACAAATAAAATAGCCGTCGGCGACGTTGTACTGATTCACGACTCGGGCACCAGACGAGGTAATTGGAAGACAGGCATTGTTCAGAGCCTCAGTAAATTATCTGACGGACTCATCCGTGCTGCCAAAGTTAGATACATTATGAATGGAAAAACAATGTACATTCAAAGACCTGTAAATAAACTGTATTTATTAGAAGCATTGGACGCCCCTATTGAAACAATGAAGATTAATTTCTGCGATGAAAAGGACATAAAACATTTTGTTATAAATTAATTGGGGGCGGGAATGTCGCGCTCACTAGCGCGGCAACGACTTCTTGTTATTTGTGTTATATTGTCAGCGGTTAATCCCGCGCTTTCTCTAACTCTTACTCTGCTTCTACGCGAACGTTGTAACTTCTTGAGCACGTTTTACATTATTGTACATTATTATACGAGAATATATTAGTATACATATCAAAACCGTATGGTTTGTGAATGAACCACACAATGTCACCCAAATTAAAATCAAGTGATAACATTGGAATCGTTGAGGTTTAAGAATCTAATCTGTTAAAATTTTTAACAAGTGTGTGCTTTTGATGTTATAGATGTTTGGAAGACAAAAGAATTTTAAGACTTTTTTTTAATATTTTATTTTAGGTGTTTTTAATAACATTTTATGTTGTTACTTTTTTAATTACATTCCATGCTTTTCTTGCATTTCCAAATGCTTTTTCAAGCAATCAACATTAGTTACTGTTTTCTTTGAATTTTTATTTTTGGTATTTGGTCTTTGTTTCTTTTTTGACTACTTAATGAGTCCTTTTGTCATACACTGAGCAAACCTTTAGAACTAATAATATTTTAAACTTTTAGAAAGACCTTTTCATCCTTTTATTAGTTTCATCCATTATTAGTGTTTATTAATAATTTTCATTTATTATTAATTATCAATTATTAGGTTTAAGTTTATTAGGTGCCTCAAAGTGTACATTAAATGATAAAGCCGTAGATGAAGCAGGGTATGCATTCGTTGACTGATTTAGGAATACTTGAAGCTAAGTCTAAAACAATAAAAATAAATAAATTCACAACTCAGATCCAGAGACTACAACTGCTCAGTGATTAACAGTCAAACGACTACAAGAACCCACAATGAACTTTAAAGATGCAGCATCTAATATGGAAATGTTGGAAAGTTATCTCAAAGAATTTTGTGTTCATTTGTGCCAAAATGCAACTGAGTATAGCAAGGGCAGATGTATGGAATAGGGAATTTAAGTTGAGAGGAGAGTCAGGAAACGGAAAATAATGCCAGATGAATGGGCTAGAGATAGTGGCCTCTCTGCTGAAAATAAAGTTAGCAGAGTTTTGAAAATGATATTGGATTGTTTCCAACAAGAACTAACAACTCGCTTTAGACGATTAAATAATCTCAATCAAAAATTTGGATTCTTGCTTGAAGTGAGAATATTGCTAAAAAGTGATGGTGATGAAAATCAAGAAAGTTTGCAGTAACAATGTTAGGATCTGGAAAAATTTTACAGTACAGATATTAGTGGAGCAGAATTATTTACTGAAATCGCAGACCGTCAGATGCTGTTTAAATCTCGTGGGGACCCAATATCATCAACTCCGCTGGATTTACTTTCATTTATTTTGTTATACGGAGATGACGTTTTTCAAACTTACGCATTGCATTACAAATCTTGCTCACAACTGCAGTGTCAATAGCCAGTTGCTAACGTTCCTTCAGCAAGTTGAAGCTTATTCTTTCATATCTACGAGCTTCAATGGAGCAACAACGTCTTGTTCATTTGGCAATTCTTATGTCAAAAGATAAACTCTAGAATCAACAGACTTTGACGACATAATAGATAAGTTTGCTGCAGTTAATGTTAGAAAAATTAAATTATAATTTATAAATAGTTTTTGATTAATGGATCTATTTGACCATCTGTCACTTTCAATGACTAATTCACATGAACAATAAAATTGACATATACTTGGAAACATTAAGTGTGTTTTTCTATGTCTGCTTCAGGGGGTGCCAATTTTCACTATTGCCCTGGGCGCCTGAAACTCTAGCTACGCCACTGGGTGGAGGGTACTGAAAAAAGCGTATTGATAATATATAAATTGATAATAGATAAAGCGTATTGATAATAGATAAATGTTCTGGGGGGGGGGGAGGTGGACGAAAAAAAAGCCTACTTTATAGACGACCACTAATGAAAGATAAAATAACGAAGAATTAGCGTCGTAAACATTTCGATACCGATTAAAGTATATATGAAAATCTTTAACCGTTCTTAAAATAACGAAGAATTAACGTCGTAAACATGTCAATACCGATTAATGTATTCATGAAAATCTTTAACCGTTCTTAAAATAACGAAGAATTAACGTCGTAAACATGTCAATACCGATTAATGTATTCATGAAAATCTTTAACCGTTCTTTCATGATTTTTGAAACTCTTTTACTATTAATCATTAACTTTTTATGACTATGTATTAATGATGATATATAATGAATGAACTTTTTATGACTATGTATTAATTTATCATAAATAACGGCAGCATATTTACCGTTAGTTCTGTGAGTTCGCATTACTTCAAAAAGATTTTTACATTCAAAATTTTTTTTACATATTTTACGTATATTTAGGGTTTCTTAAAACTTTCAGAATAGTTTTTAGAATAATCCTCACTTATAAATATTCTTGTTTCTTTTAACTCTTTTGAATTCTTTAGTGTATTGATTTTATCTTTTTAGTTCAGGAGTTTTATTATATTTGATTGAGGTTTTCTTTGTCCAGTTTTTCCTGACTGTAAGCTCATAAAAACTTGAATGATAGTAATCTTGTGTAGATAGGAATAAATTTTTTGATATAGAAAATGCCAACTTATACTCAGTTACAAGAGTTTGACAATAACAAGAATCTTTTACTATATTAATATCTTTCATACACTAAGCTATAGGTCTTAGGTGAGAAAACTGAAATGTAAAGTTGTATTAAAAGATTCTTTCCTATCTACCTAAGATAGTTTGCTGAAAATTGTGGAGAGAGTATTTTAAATTTTAAACCTATATGAAATAGATTTAAAAGAGTGTAGAAGAGTATAGTCAACATTGAGAGTGACTTACTGCAGTAAGTTTTAATGGAAGAAGAGTTTAATTTAGCATTAAATTTTACATACTGCTCTAGAGCAAAATTGTGTTGAATTTTGTGCAATAGAAACGTTAGTATTGTGAATTTTTTAAATATTTTTGTTTTAAATTTCTTTAAATTACTTGAAATTTTTTTTTTATAATGTGCATCTAAAATGCTTAAGTAGGCTTAGATTCCCTCAATTTTACTCTTTTATCCTATTTATGGCTCAAGACTTTGTTCAGATTTTAAAAAGGTTTTTATTATAGTGACATGACATAAAACCTTGCAGTTTCTTTGGCGCTCAGTCATACACACACACACATACACACACACACACGCACGCACGCACACACACACAAACACACACACAAACACACACTCATACACACACATAAATGTATACTTTGGTATGCAGTCTGACATCATACTTAAGTCATATTAGGGGGCTGCAGAAAGCTTCAGTATATACATGAACATGTAAAGAGTGCCTCTACATTGACTAAAGCCCCTCCAAAGATTTCTTCAGTATGATGTCATCAGAGATATTTCTTTCATCTTAATCTGCAGAATAAGCTGGGGGTTTGATAGATACCTTTTGGACAGGCAATATGTATGTTGTTGTTTTTTTTAAATAAATTTTTTTCATTATTTAGTTTTATAATTTATTTTGTTATCATTTAAAGATTTCTATTATAAAAAAAGTGTTTTTAATAAGTTATTGTTAAGTTTTGATAAATTATTTTTTAGATGAAGTTTAATGTTATTGGTAGAAGTGTTTATGGGAAGTTGCAATACCAAGTTTCAAATATAGAAAAAAGATCAAATAATTTTAATGAATGGAAACTTCCATTTCCTATGAAAGAATATTATAAGAAAATGCTCAGCTTAGTTGATGAGGCTGTTGGTTTTTCTCAGGTAAGCTTTACTAATTTTCTTTTTTATTATTATTATCAGCTGTTTAATGTTATTAAGTTGGTAATCCTTTTCTAACTTTTAATTTCATAAAAATTAACTTTTTGTAACATTAATTTTCATAATCAATTTTTAAGATTGCTGAAGCCCAGGCTCTTGTCTTAAAATATGAGCAGCAGTATGAAGAGGTGCGAAATAAAGTTTATGCTATAAAACAAACTATGGAAGAAAAACAAGACCTTTTATCTGAAATGCGTCGTAAATTAGATAGATGTGATAGGCATGATGAACGTTATTTGCTTCTTGTTGCCGATGAACACAAAATTCTTTTAAGCTGTAAGTGTATTGTTAATTTTATTGAAATTTTCTAATCTTGTTTACAGTAAAGCTATTGGTATCATTAAAATGGTGGTTTATTGATGGGACAATGATTCTTCGTCAAATTTTTTTTGTTAATTGTTTTAGCATCAATAGAGTAATAAATATATTAGTCATATTTCACTTAGAGTTAGTTAAGATATTTAATTTCTTAGTCATATTTTATATAGAGTTAGTTAAGATATTTAATTGCTTAGTCATATTTTACTTAGAGTTAGTTAAGATATTTAATTGCTTAGTCATATTTTACTTATGGTTGGTTAAAATATTTAATTTCTTGGTTAGAGTCTTAATTATAGGTAGTTTAAGCTTTTTTTTACTTTTTTTTTTTTGCAGATTTGATTTGGTGCAGATGATTTCTGCATATCACGCAACTTGTGAAATTTTATTTAATGTTTTTATGACTACTTGATAACTTACCAAAAACAAAATTTTTTTTAACTGAAACTACAATTTAGTTAAAGTCAATTATAGTATACTGAGTTCTTAGTTTTAATGAACACAAGAATACTGGGTGAAAATTTGGGATAATTGAATAAAACTTAATCTAAAATTAAATATTAATGGAAGGTACTCTTTGCTGAAATAAAATAAACAGGTTCAAAAACTTCAGTGGTGAGAAGTTTGAAGAGGAGGAGGTTATTTGCAAACAATAGAACCACATTGTATAGATAATATTTCTATACTACGTGTGCCAGAACTTTGCCTCATACTCAACATAAATAGAAAGTCCATTTTAAGAACTTTGTCATTTGGCAAATCTGTTCTAGTAGTGTTCAAAATTGGTATTCTCTTTTCTATATCCAGTGGTTTTCTGGCCCCAGAGGCTATGCGAGAATCATGCATGGGCCATAAGCTTTTTATCTTAGAAGAGCCTTTTGGAAAAAAAAAAATTGTTTTACTATACTCTTTAAATAATCAACAAATATTTTTTTTATTCACTTTATTCATGCTTCCACAAATTAAATTCTTTAATTATCTGATTTAAAGTGTTAAACATTGAGCACTAATATATTAGTAATAAAATGCAAACATCTAACAGTTGTAATAAATTAAAGAAACTTCTTCTAGGGTTGATTTAATCGATCGAGATGGTCAGATGGGAATTTGTGATCCTGAAATTATTTAATTAAAAGAAATTGTGATTTATGTAACCAATAAAATGCTTTATATTAAAATCTAGAGTTTATTATGTGCCCTTTATATGTGGTCAAAATATTTTCAAAATGATAAAAAATGATTTAAAAAATTTACTTTTCAAAAAAGTTTTATTATTAAATTTATCTTTAGAGTTTATCTGTTATTAATTAATTATTAAAATAAAATTATGCTGATTGAATAGATAAAGATATAGTTCCCGTAACAAAAGATATTACCATTAGACTAATTAAAGTTTTTTTTTAATTGAAATTCCAAATTGTCACATAAAAAGTTATTAAAAAAGGTGGTTTCAAAACATTAAAATTATTTTAACTGACGAAAAGAAAAGAAAATAGGAACCTAGTTTGTGCTTTTAATTTTTTTACATTAGCACATATACTATTTAATTTATCTGTTTTAACTTTTCTTGTTTTATTTAAAATAGTAAATCATGCATTTTTTGAAAAGTTAAACAAGTTTAAGCAAAAAAAGTTTAAGCTCTATAAATTATCAGGCAAGATTTTATTTCAAATAAAACATTATATTTAATAATTACTACTTAGTAATTAACAAATATCATGTTTTATTTGAAATAAAAGTTTAATTGAAATAAAAAAAAATTTTATAACAAAGAATAAGAGTAGAACAATTAAATTAAGAGTGGATCACAAGTAGGCACCTTGCTTCAAAATAATTTCATTTAAATCTGTTTTCAGTTTTTCCAGTTGCCGTTGCAAATGATCATAAGAATGTGATCTTAAGTTTGTCTCCATGGCTTCTTAAACCTCTTTTTATAACACAATGTAAAACTAATTAGCTTACTCTAATTTATGTTGCTATAAAACGTAGAGCTTATATCTTCAAATCAAGCAATCAATATGTTAAAATCCTGCATAACTTAATCCCAATTAACTTAAAGGATAGTTTTCTTTTGTAAACTCTATGTAGATAGGTTGACAGAATCATAAACTTTAAGATGTAAGACTTTTTTTCTTTAATTTTTTTTAAAGTTATATTCACCTCCCCAAGATGGAGAAAGCCACAACATTCAAGGAGACTATTTTATTGTGAAGACAAACCTAGCTCAACTCATTAACTCCAAAACACGAACTTTGACCAAAAAGTCTGCTGTGCGGAGAAACAAGTTTTAGACAAATTAAATTTTTTGTGCCATTGTATAGTGTTAACTGCAATAGTTTTGCCACTGCTGCTATTAAGTCAATATCATTTTATTTCAAATAAAACATGATATTTAATAATTACTACCTAGTAATTAACAAATATCATGTTTATCATTGCTGCTATTAAATCTAAGTCACTATCATTGATGTGATCCATTTTCTGAAGATTTTTAGAGTCTCTGGAAGTTCCATCTAGTTCCCATACATTCACTAATATTTTAGACTAATTTTCTTGTTGTAATTATTGATTTTTTTATTAAGCATTTTTTAATTGGACAGCATTTTTCTTTAATTTTTTGATAGTCTTGTAGATTGGAAATCTAGCAGGTGCTGTGATGTGTTTACTATTATAGAAAGTTTTTTTGTGATTACAGTTGATTTTTATCAACTGTAATCACAAAAGTGGTGAGCATGATAAAGAGATGCAACCTTTGCAGATGCTAATTTTGCAATGAATTTGATATTTGGTTTTCAAGAAAGATCCTAATTATGAGTTAATCCTAGAAGATGAAGGTTAGATGACTTATCGAGGACATTCATAAATATAGGAACCATTCATAAATATAGGAAGATCAAGATTATTGTGATAACCATTAGCTAAATAAAGTTGAGCTTTATTGGAGTTTAAGTTCACCAGCCACTGAGCCCCATGCTGTAGCAGAAGTGAGATCCTTTTCAATCTCAAATGCCCCCTCCAAGCAATCAGAGAGTGTTGGCTTCTTCATCAAGACAATTCTCTTTATCAAGAAAAAAATAAATGGTAGTGTATAATGGTATCTACGAGCTATAGAAGAGTTATATCCCTAACCTCTCATATCTATATTACGCACGATAAAATCAGTAAAAAGCAGTAGAACAAAAGATTAAAATCCATATTGATGATCAGAAAGTAAGTTATCAAATTCAAAACGAGAGTGTTAATTAAACACTCTCTTAACATGTGTTTGTTAATTAAATAATTAGTGTTTGTTAGTTAAACACTCAAAAACCTTATTCAAAACACTCAAAGCTTATGATAGGAAATAGACTAATAAGACAGTCAGACGACTCAGTCAGATTGCTCTCCAGAATTTTTGAAAATAGAGATAACAGATGCTGCTTTTCAGCAGGTTGGAAAGCAAGACTCTGATAAGCATTTGTTAAATAGTTTGAAAGTATAGACGACAGCCCCAGAGAACACTTCTGCAAGGCTGTAACAGGTATAATGTCCAGACTACAAGCTGTAGAAAAGTCTAAGCAGGAAAGCACTTTAGATACAGAAGCTGTAGTGATACAAAGGTCAAGCACTGGATTAACCTTTTTTGTTGGCTATATCAGGTAAGATGTAATTAGTGGAATTAAGAGATGATGAAAATGTGATATGATGAAAAGTTCTCAGCAAACAATTCAGCTTTGTCTTTAGAAAAGGTAACATAATTTAAACCATGCAACAGAGGTGGAATAACAGATTTGCCTTTTTTTTAGGCACTGTTGAAGACTCTCCAGAAGTCTTCAGAGCCTAATTTTTAAGAAGTATGAGATTTTGTTACCTAAGAAAAGCGGGCTTCGGCGTTAGACAAAACTATTTTACAGTGGTTTCTAGCAATAGTAAAGAGAAATCTGTTTTCTGGAGAACTGTTTTGATGATAGATACGGAAGAATCATGATTGGAAATTGCAGCAGCACGATAAGAGTAAAACCATTGAGGCTTTGCTGGGAGTTTCCGAGAGGGAATAAAAGATTCCAGCCTGAACCCAAGAAGTTATTTATGATACACATATGTCAGCAGAAAGGCAAAAGATTTCTACTTAAAGACCATCACAAAGGAAATCACCGAAAGAGTCCCAGTCAGCTTTAAAGTAGTTATAAGAGGTATGATGATAGGGGAATTCTGATGATGAAGAAAAATAAAATAATAGTTTTAGAGAGACTAAGCCATGATCAGAAGCTTCTAAAGAAACTGAGCACTGATTAGAATCAGAAAGAAGACATAAGTCTAGTATAGAAGGGAAATGATTAGGATTGTCTGAAAAGCGATTTGGAAAGTTGACTATTTGTGTTTGAGATTGAGAAAGGTATATGTTGTGAGCCTTGACACCTGCAGAGTCACAAACACTAGAGCCAAGCCATTCAGTGTGATGAGCATTTAAGTCACCAACAACAACGATATTGGCTGAAGGGTAAAGAAAAAGGGCTTGGTCAATTTGATTAGAAATAACATCAAAAGAGTCTTGATAAGGGAGAGCAATATAGAACAAAGAGATAGGTGATAAAGTGAAGTGGTGCTAAACAAAACACATAAAAGAATAGTCAGTGGATTCTAACTTAGTTTCCCAACAAATGGGCGAGTTCTTACAAATGTAAATGCCCAGGCCAAGCTTGTGACTAATGGAGTCTATAGGAATTAAAAGAAGATAACTATCAAAACTAAGATCATAAAATGAGACAGCTGAACTCAAGTTAGCCTCACAAAGAGCAAGTAGATCTGGTAAGCTTTGCCAAAGCTGCCACAAGAAATAGTTCTTCAAAGATTACAAATATTAGTGTATGACAGATTTAGTGAATTGGGTGATGACGATGGTTTTTTTTGTGTTTTATAGTTTTTGGTACTTTGGTCATTTTTGAATTTGTTAAAAAATTGACTCAAAGCACAGATAGTACTCAGTACACAATTTAATAGTCCAAGCAATTGCCTTATTACTGTTAATAAGTCTTAAGCCTTAGCAAAGGGCTCTAAATGTGGCCTTGAAAATGCACATCAAAAGTATTAACAGGTCATTCATGCATAACCTTGTACTCTAAGTACTCTGATACTTTACAGCTGTTGATAGAATCAGTCTTTCTGGGAGCTACCATAGATTTTGGTACCATAGAAACCTGACTACTGGCCAGCCTCAGAACCATAAAACTGAGTTTTAAATCCATACCCCCATTAGGAGATAATCGAAAGAATTGTCTAGTCATAAAAAGACACACGCAGAACCCATGCATCGAGTCAATAAGATCCAGCATTCAACATCCTAAACTAGAGACAATGTATTATAAATACATCTATGCCAACCTAATAGATAAAGACACTTAAGATAGACTTAAGATAGACTTGAAGACTTGAAGATAATACTATGAAATAGTAATGTAATGTATTGGTTGTATTACTATGTAGTAGTAATGTAATGTAGTGGTAGTATTACTATGAAGTAGTAATGTGATGTAGTGGTAGTATTACTATGAAGTAGTAATGTAATGTAGTGGTAGTATTAGTAATGAAGAGTTAAAGATAATAGTAAAAAGTTTAAAACTTATTGATGGATTTAGTAAAAGATAATTAAAAAAGATATTTTATTAAAGATATTTGTTGTCTTTGAATTAGGCTGGTAAACCATGTAGTATTTTTTTGATGATAAGTTATAAAAAATTCTTGTTGATAAATATAGTATAAGATAATAAATTAAAATAGCACTGGTTAATCTTGTTATCATCACAGATAATAACAATTGGGTCTCTATCAGAGTGTTAAATAAAATTAATTTAATTATATATATATACCACTAATTATGATAAAAAATCACAGATAACCATTTTAGGATTAACTTGTTTTTGTAGAAACACAAAAATTTTATTGTTTTTTATTAAAGTATTAAGGTTTCCAAGTTAGAAATACGAGTTAAATTTAATTGCCTAATAAGTTTTTTATTTTAATAAAATTAGAACTATATATATTATAACATAAAAAAATCGAATTCATGTGTATAATTTGTTTAAATAAAATATAGTTTAAATAATATATAAATATGATATACAATAATTTTTCTCATTTTCAAATATTGTTTAACACTTAAGAATATTTTATAATTAGCGAGACAACTTCTTCGTGATTTCAATGCGGCTGAGCAGCAAGAACGTCAGATGTTTAGATTGTACTCTGGCGCTGTTCGTTTATCTCATGAAAGAGAGAGGTTAAATGGTCAGCGTACAAAATATTGGTCAATAATTGCTTCTATTGGTGGAACCATTCTTGGTTTGTTAAAATTCTTTTAAATGTCATTTCATTGCGATAATATTTTTGAAAAATTAGTTAAATTTTTTTTTTTCAGGTTTTACTTTTTCTTCTTTGATCACACATAGCAGACTAGAGGGAATGAGCAGTGTGACTCAGTCTGCAATTAGTCAGGTTCTGCTTGAAATGCACGCAACTTTAGAAGAGCATCAAACATCTATGATTTCTCAGCTTCATTCTTTAAACGAAGCAGTCATAAAAAATGAGGGTGATGTTTCATCAGATACAAAAGGTTCTGCAGCAGTTAAAAAAATTGAACATAAAATTGAGGAAGTGATTAGTTTCTTAAAATTACTTAATGAAAACACTCAAAAACTCTCTGTCGACAATGAAAAATTACTAAAGGAGTTAGTTGAGCGTATCATTAAGTATCTGTCACAAAGCAAAAAAACACAAGATATAAAAGTAGATAATGTTCAAATAGAAGATCATCTGGAAACAAGTATCAGGGCAACAGAAAACACTAAAGTGAACTCACTTAACGAAGATGAAACGATCCTTAATACAAACTTAGCACCACAAGAAAATGTTGGTGGATCCGAAAAAAATTTAAATAGCAAAAGCTTTAATATACTTTTAGTACTCTCGACTTTATCGTTTGTTGCAATTTCTTATTGGAAAGAATTATTTTGATTGTAGAATTTTGCTGTAAATATTTTAATACTGTTATTAATTGTTTTTATTTTATATAGCTTGTATTTCAATTTTCTATTTAGTTTAAATCATTTGATTATTATGAAATAATTTTATTATTTAAAAGCGATTTTTCTGAAGTAATATGCTTTGAATAAGACAAGTTTTGAATGTAACAAATCACTATATATATAAACTATTTATAATGTTGAACTTTATTAATTACCATCAATATTAACTAAATTTAGTATACTTACGATCATTAATTAAGAAATTTAATGTATTTATGTCATATAAAAGTCATATATAATACTTGAAGCGTTTGCAATCCTTTTTTCCTGAACTAAATCGTAAAAAAAACTATTTTTTCGCGAATTTTAAATACATTGAAACTTGTCTGTTAAAAATGTCACAAAAACCAAGAAAAGTTTTAATGCAGAATTTAACAGAAATAAATTATGTGAAAACTCTTTTTTTTAATTTTAATAAATCTTAATAGACAAATAAATGGTTAAAAAAAAAATCATATAAATAAAAATTAAAAATCTTCTAAACTTAATGAGAACGCAGAGTTCTTGAAAAATTGTTTTGTAAAAGATTTATTTTTAATCATTTTTCAAATGTCTATATTTGTATAGACAAAAAACAGGCAACGTGGTCCAAGACGTCACTTTTAATAATACCTTTTTTAGAGATAAAAATAGTTCAAAAGTTATTGTCTAATAAAATAGTGTTATTCTAGTAGAGTTATTAGTTAACAGTATTGTTCTATTAGTGTGATATTCATAATATATTAAATTAAAATCACTATTTATGTTTTAATTTTTTTTTTCATGAATACTTTTTTTATCAAATCATTCTATAATAAAGTAATTTCAAACATTTCTAAAATATTTTTTCAAAATTTTACAATAATGATGACAATATTTCATAAATCGATTGATCACATTCTAGATAACATATCCTATCTTTTCAATATCATAATATTACTTTCTGCTGTCTTTTGTTATTAGTTTTAACAAAGACAAATTCAACTTTTAAGTAAAATTAAGTTAATGAAATCTCCCATTGATGATTATGTATAAGACAACTTGTTTAATTATTAAATCCATTAAGCTTTAAGTAGTAGTTTAAGGGGTAAACAAATTCTATCTGTCTCCTCGCAACCCTCCTTTGTTTACTCGGCTGGCGCAGATTTATTTATAATGCATTGTTTGCAGTTTAGGATGTTGAATGCTAGATCTTATTGACTTAATTCATAGTTTTTTCTTGTACCTCTTTTTTTATGATTATGCAACCCATACTTTTATCTCCTAATGAGGGTACAGCTTTATAACTCAGCTTTATGGTCCTGAGACCGGCTAATAGTCTGTTTCCCGAACTCTCTAGTAACTCTCAGAGAGGCTGATTCCATCAACAGCTGTAAAATATCAGAATACTAACAGTGCACTGTTGCGCATGGATGGTGTCCCTGTTCGTGTTTTTGGTGTGCATTGTCGAGGCCACATTTAGAACCCTTTGTAACTGCTTACGGTTTATTAATAGTAATGAACTATTAGATAATGTACTGAACACTATCTGTGCTTTGAGTCAAGTTCTTTAATACTTTAAAAAATGAATAAAATACTGAAGACTATAAAACACAAAAAACCATAGTTATTACCAAATTCCCAAAATCTACCATTAACTAAAATTCGTGGTCTTTGAAGTAATTTTTCTTCTGTTGAGCCTTACCTGTTGCAAAGTTCACTAGAGCTGCTTGTTCTTTGTGAGATTAGTTTGTGTTCAGCTGTCTCATCTTGTGATCTTTGTGTTGATAGTTATATACCTTTAATTCTTCCTTTAAAAAGACTCCAACAGTCTCATGCCTGGCCTAGGCATTTACATTCGTAAAAATTCACCCATTTGTCGAGAAACTAGGTTTAAATTTACAGACTATTCTTTGTTTGCTTTCGTTTAGTACCACTTTACTCTATTTCATTTTTTCTTTGTTCTATATAGCTCTCCTTCATCTCAAGACTGCATTCTTTTTGATTTAATTTCTGATCAAGTTGGTCGAACCCTTTCTCTTTATTTTTCATCGTTATTGTTGGTGAGTTTAGTGCTCATTACACTAAATGGCTTGGCTCTAGTGTCAGTGTCTTTGCAGGTGTTAAGGTCAAAAACTTTTGCCTTTTTCAATTTCTAACACAAATAGGTAACTTTCCAACTCGTTTTCCAGAATAGGATACTTTCTGCTCACTCCTCTCTATGGTTTTCCTTTTATTGTGCTGCTGCAATTCCGATTTGTAACGACAGCTTTCATATTTATCAGCAAAACAATTCTCCAGAAAACAGACGTCTGTTTACTATTACTAGAAACCATTTAAAAAAGGTTTTTAACGCCAAAACCTGCTATTTTCAGGTCTTAATGCCTCAGATCTCAGATCTCCTGAATTTTAGAGAATCTTTAAAAGTATATATAGTAAGGACAAATCTGTTATTCCACCTCTCTTGTATGATTCAGATTCATTTTATGAAGAAGAAGTTGTTGTTGATAGTGTAAATAAAGAATCTACTCCAATTGTAAATATTTTAATTAATAATGACACTGTGATTCACTGTCTGACTGACGCTTCTGATAATATTGTAAATATTCCAGCACCACATTCAAAAATACGACAAATTGATGTAGTTGAATCTTGTACTCTACTGTCTGGATATAGAATTATAGATATAGAAGCGTTATTTGTTATTTTTAAAGAACTCATTTGTCCAATGTGCTTCAATGAAGACTCTCTTGTGTTGTCTGACAACTCAAAACATCGACATGGACTTGCTCCTTTTTAGTTTTAAAATGTTCAAATTGTTTATTTTTCAAAAATATTTGTACTATAAAAAAAAGTGGTCAGCAGGGATACGACATAAATAAGCGAGTTATTTAGACAATGCGGTCGTTGGGTCAATGTCACGCAGGACTTGAAAACTTCACTTCTTTTATGAATATTCCTCCGCCAATGACTACAAATAACTATGACAAGCTTGCTAAAAAATTTGTGAAAAAAGTAGCAATAGAGACTACTGCGAAAATCAGACACGATTCGAATACTGGTATTGTTGATACTGGTGTTTCATGTGATGAAAACGTATAGGTACAAGATTAAGAAAGTTGAAAAAAAAAACTAAAAACCTTGGTGGTAGAGTTAAATTAACAGATGCAACAATTGATCGGTTGCAAAGTTATTTTGGTATTTCAATTAGAGCTAATGTATTGTAATGAGATTTAGCATCTATGAAACCTGAAACTCTGGCATCACTTTATTATGGTGCCTCCAACAAGGAGAATAATCTACATTTTCCACATTGCCCAGTTGGAGCTGATAATTGGTGCAAATATAATTCAGGTAAAGCCAATGGTACAACTTAAAAGAAACTTATAAACCTGGACCAGGTTTACCAATAGCTATTGTTTATAAAATCAAACCAATCTTTGCAGAACTCAGTGCTGACCAACATTTGGAAAAGTGCTTACATGGTAAGACACAAAATACTAATGAAAGTTTTAATGGCACTATCTGGGAACGTTTACCTAAAATGAAACTTATATAATTCAGTCAATTAGAATTTGGAGTTTATGATGCAGTGGCTAATTTTAAAATTAGTCGAAAACCTCGATTTTAGTTTATGAATTTTTCGAAATAATTCCAGGAGTATATACTCTTAAAGGTTGTAAAAATTTAAACTAAAAACAACTATCACGTTCCAAATACATATATATTGATAAAAACAAGTTGCGACAAAAAATTATTTGTGGCAAAAAACATAATAAAAATGATAATGAAAAAGAGAAAGAAGGGAAATTGTATAAAGCAGGAGGTTTCTAATACTTTTTATTAGATATTTTAACTATAATATGTGTTTTACTTAAAGTTTCAAAGTTTTATATGCTAATTTTTTTTTCTTTTCGCGTTTTCTTGAAATAGTCTTTTTTCATACCCCGGCCGTTTTATTTCAAGAACCGTTTTATCAATTTTGATGAAATTTTCTGGAGTTGTTTCTATGATTATAAACTGTGGTTTAATAGAAACAGTTTTTTAAATTGAGGTTTAAATTTTTTTAATTTTAATATTTTGAATAAAAAATATTTTCGCCATCTTTAAATGTGCACCCATCGCTCAGATTTTTAGTTACAGAAAAATGCCGCTATTAAAACACCCTTTGACCTTTTGTGAAAGCTTTTTAAGAGATCTTGCACGGTTATTTAGTTTTTATGGCCGGTGTGAATGCATTTTTTGCCCAATTTTAAGTGTTTTTTGTGGTTACTACGGCAACCAAAAACCATTTTGTATTTTTTTTTAAGGATTTTGTTTATTCATATTATATTGATGTTTTATATTCTTGATTTTGTTTAAAATGTTTAATACTTCTGTTTAGGGGGGGGGCTTCCCCCTTAACAAATACATTATTTCCTCTCAAAACAACCCTGGTAAACAATATAGTGACTTAACTGAGGGCGATTGGAAAAAACGTTATGCTAACCACAAACAATATTTTAAACATAAAAAATACTCAAAAGAGACTATGCTGTCAAAATATATTTGGCAACTAAAAGAAAAAAATATTAATTTTAAAATAAACTGGTCTATTCTAAAAACTGCGTCCACCTATAATAAAATTTCCAAAAAATGTATTCAATGTTTAAAAGAAAAATTTGGAATATTTACTCAAGAAAATTAACTAAATAAAAAATCTGAATTTCTAAACGTAGAAAATAAGTACCTTTAAAAATTTATAAAAACAAATTACCAGTCTAAAATTTTCCTAATTCTAAAGAATTCTTTTCATTATTTTTTAATTTTGTAATGTAGTTGATGCAACTTTCTGGTTGCAAAATAACTTCAGTTATTACATAACTAATTATAACAATTCCCAACTTCCTGTGAAATACTTTTTCTATAAATTGAATTTTTTAATGTTTCCACATTCTTCCTGATGAACCAACTGATGCAGAAACAAGCTGTCAAAGAATAAAAACATGGTCATATATTTATATGGTC